CAAGAAACTTATTCGAGTGCCTTTAGTGAATAGGAATGTCGTACTAGCTTATGAGAAAACTGTAAGGGAGAAATGGCGATCATTTCAGCAATCAAAGCTCGTAAATGCCTATTGAAGGGATGTTCATCATTCTTGGCCTATGTGTTAGATGCCAAGAACGATAAGAGAAAAATAGAAAATGTAAGAATTATCAATAAGTTTCCAGATGTCTATCAAGATGAATTGCCTAGCTTGCCACTCGATGGACAAGTGGAGTTTCATATCGATTTAGTTCCGGGAACAACACCAATAGCTTGTCCACCTTATCATTTTGCATCGACCAAAATGCAAGAGATGATGAAAAAAATGCAGGAATTGCTCGAGAAGGGTTTTTTTTAGGCTGAGTTCTTCGCCAATGGGGAGCCCTGATAGGTGTTAATTTATTAACCCTATTTGCACTATTTTTACAACATTTTAGGACTTTTCACTTTCCCATTTGAGTCTTTTTATTCTTTTCCTTCTTAATTATGTGTTTATGGAGTATTGTGTGTATAGTATATGAATCCCATTTATTTTGTATGTTGAAGTGGCCAAAAATCTCATTTTCTAATCAATCCTTTGAATTACTACAAGAACTCGCATAGGCAGTCCTACAGATGTTGCAGGACCAGACAATGGGCTTGGACACTTTTAGGCCGAATTTTTGGAGCATATTTTGGGCATTTGGGCTACACTTCTTGGGGCCCTTTTTGACATGCTTTGGGCTACACTTCTTAGGCCTTATTGGAACACTAGAAGCCACGGCGGAAGGATCAACCCTACGGAATTGAAACAAAGGAAATAGAGGCAAGCATTGGTCAAATGTTGCACCAAATATTGGATGAGGCATTCTAAGCCACCGAAGAAATCCTTGGTAGTGATTTCAATCAAATGACAATCACACCATATATAGAACTTGTGCCCTCTTTTACTTACTTTGATGGACCCCTTTTCACTAACCTGTCAAGTGTCATTATCTTGAACTCCAAAGGTGAGACCAACTCCAATAACCCTACTACTTTCTACCAAGTCTTGAGTGAAATGGAGCAAGCTGCTCTTACTTATAACCCCCTAGCAGTTTAAAACCCCCATACCACACCACTGCTTCACAACAATCCTAACCGTTCACTTTCCAAGAAAACACCACAACTCTCACCTTTAGCCCATATCACTCTTGTCCTCATCAATATAATCCATTGACACAAGAGTCTAGTGACATTGTGAGAATGGCAATCAAAAGGGTGAAGACTATTGCAACCAAAGCACCTAGGCTATCAAAAAGACGAAGAGTTGCTGTCATTCACAATCAAGGTGTTTGGAATAATTTGGAAAGAGAAACAAGACAACAAGCAGCTAGAAGGAAAGGAAAATAGCCTCTTGGAAGTGCATCAATAGCTTGGGATTAACCTCAATCACCACATCAACATCAAGCTGTTGGCAATACACAAGAACGCTCAAACCACTCATGGCATGTAAGACATTCTGACTTATTAGCTCCGCATTAGCTTTGAAACCGCATAAGATCTTTGCTGATAAGATTGGTCAAACACCCACGGGATTCAATGATCACAATATTGCTACATTTCCTGAGATTAAGCAGATCATTGAAAATTTTGAATGGAACATTTTGTGTGTTGTCCCCTGTGCTTATAACTTGGATTGGGTGAGAGACTTCTACACAGAAGTTTCTGTCTCTAATAGCACAGAGTTAATGATTAAGAAAACCCCGGTCAGTTATTCAGTTGCTACAATCAATAGATTGCTGGGAATCAATCCCCCTGCCAATTCAAAATTTGATCAACTTATGCCAGGAACTTCAGAAAAGGAGCTTAAGTATATATTGAGCACCATTGCTCATAAAGGGTCCCAATGGTCATTCAAAGAAAAAACAAGAATTTTAAAAACCCAATGCCTAAAGCCGAGCAATTATTTTGTTTTACTTCATTAGGCATACCCTCCATCCAACAACTCATGACACCAACCTGTGTGTTATTCCCAGCCGGATCTACAAGAGTTTATAAGTAATAGTTTGTAGAAAATGGGGGAAAATACAAACACAACAACTTTCACTTTTAAAAAAACTTATATTGATAAAGAAGATCAATACAGATTTTTATAGATTGTTTGTGTTGATCCTCTTCTCTCAGTGATCTGATAATGATCCATTTTATCTATCGAAGTGTAGTATCACTATATTCAGCTTCAGCGATCATCACTAAGTCTGTTCAGTGATTGATGAACATGTATTGTAATTCGTTCAAGGACAATTATCCTTCAAGAAGACAAAACTCACACCACAGATCCTTCAACGATATCGAATATAGAAACTGAAAATAGAGACCAACAAATTTGTGATCTGAAGCAGTTTTCAGTGATAACAAGCTCTTCTACACAAGTGTGAAATCTACACAAGATTTAGCAAACACTATTGAGATCCCCAACGTCATTCCAGTGTTCAGCAATCAAATGAATCTTATTGAAGAAGATAGTTGTTTCTTGTCCATCTGCACATAAAGGAAAACCCCATACCTTTCAAAGTAAAGTACTCTATGGAGTCACTCAATTGTCTCCAAGAACTCTCCTACTTTATGAAAGAAGATTGTTCATATACGACTAAAAGACTGTATACTGCAACAAAGGATAAGCTTACCTTTTAAAGCTTGCCATGTGCTTTGTACCTTCTTAATTGCATATAATGCAATAGGTATAAATAGTCGAGTAGTTCTTTCTTCTGAGTCATCCTCTCTAACACATCCAAGCATATTTGCCTTGAAGATCTTGCCCAAGAAGATACTCCTCCGTCTATACTCTCTGTCTAAGAGAAAGACTTTCATTTTCACAAGTGAAGAGCACAATACTTCTTAACCTATTTATTGTAGCAAATCTTTTCTTTATTGATATATGTAATTTGTGTGTTATCTTTGATTGTTTATATATGTTTTTTTATCATATCTTTTCCGCAAATAATTTGTAAAAATCTGTATTGATCTTCTTTATCAATATAACTTTTTAAAAGTGAAAGTTGATGTGTTTGTATTCATCCCCCTGTCACTGACCTAAGCTGGGTCACTGCTAAGAAAGAAGAAATCATTGACTTTGATTGGAACAAAGTCTGGTGACTTGTCTCGCATCCATTTGACAAACTATGATAGGCACCAAGTGGGTTTATTGCAATAAGTTGGATGAACAAGGAATTGTGACCTGTAACAAGGCTCGTCTTGTTGCTCAGGAATACATGAAAGAAGAAGGAATCTACTACGATGAAACCTTCACACTAGTGGCTAGAGTTGAAGCTATTCGACTCTTCCTAACCTATGATGTCCATATGGACTTTAAAGTCTACCAAATGGATGTAAAGAGCGCTTTTATGAATGGAAAACTCCAAGAGAAAGTTTATGTTGAACAACCTCTAGGGTTTCTTGACCCAAAATATCATAATCATGTTTATCGATTTGATTAAGCTCTTTATGGGTTAAAACAGACCCCTTGTGCATGGTATGACACCCTTTCTTCATTTATCTTCTCTGCAAAATTTGTCCATGGAAAGATTGACCAGACCCTATTTCTGAGGAAAGTCAAGGGTCATATCATTCTAGACCAAATTTATGTCGATGATATTATATTTGGTTCCACTAATCCCTCTTTGTGTTTTCACTTTTCGAAATGCATAAAGAAAGAATATCAAATGAGTATGATGGAAAAACTGACTTACTTTCAAGGTCTTCAAATTAAGCAATCTGATAAAGGAATTTTTATCAATCAGAGTAAGTATGTTAAGGATATGTTGAAGAAATTTGACTTAACCAACAGTTCATCTATGTATTGATAAGATTTTGAAACACTTCAAGATGAAGGGTTCCAAGAGAGGATACTTGCCAATGGTACATGGTATACAATTGAGCAAGACTTGCTGTCCTAGTACAAAACAGGACATGAATCTTATGATGGGTGTTCCTTATGCTTCGGCCATATGTTCTCATGTATGCCATGTTGTGTACTTGACAGAAAGTCTCTAAGCATGACAAGCAGATATAAGTAAAAAACAGGTGATGCTCACTAGGTAGAAGTAAAAAACATCTTAAAGTATCCGAGAAGAACTAAGGATTTGTTTCTATTGTATGGCGGTTAGGAATAAGATCTATGTATCCAAGGGTATACATATGCTAGTTTTCAAACAGACCATGATGACTTTAAATCGCAGTAGGTATACCTTTTTGTGTTAAATGGTGGTGTTATGAGTTGGATGAGCTACAAGAATAGTACGATAGCAGATCCAACTACATAATAAGGTATATTGCAGCATCGGATGCCACAAAGGAAGCTATTTGGATGAAGAACTTCATCTCAAACTTAGGAGTGGTTCCTAGCATATGTGAACGTGTCGATATCGACTATAACAATGAGGGTGCCATTACTCAGGCGAAAGAAAAAAGGTAACATCAACGCTCCAAGCATATTCTAAGACGATATCACCTAATTCGAGAGATTATTGATTGACGTGACATGAAGATATGAAAGGTTTAATTAGAAGTGCAATAGGCTTGAGGTTTTGCAATACATGGGAAAAGTTTTTTCCACGGATGGAAAGAAAGTGTTCATTAATTAATAATGATAGGTTTGGAAAAAACTTGGCGTCATACGTAAAATCCCCTACAAGCTTACTGAAGTAGTCACTTTTTATATCATTAAGCCACTATCAAACAGTCGTATAGGTACCAAATAAGTTGCGAGTCTTGTTAAACTCACTAAGTTGCTAATAAATAGACCCTTAAGAGTTCTTTATACTTGGGACTTGGGTTTTGGCTTGGACTTTCTGTCGAATTCTTCCTTTTCTGGCCATTGACAAAGTTGGCGACAATTATTAAAAGGGGAGGAGACGGTCGGAATAGAAAAGTGTGGGTGAAGATATCAACGGTAATCACACTTGTACACAAGCTTCATATACTTGTATGTTCAACTCTTTAAATAATAATATAAAAAAGAGACGATTACCAAAATCAGCATTCCAAATGTTGGATCTTGTAGAGTTTCCACTAAACCTTATGAACCAAAAGCTTTAAAAACAAAACCATGTAATTTACTCATACTAATAATAAAGCAGTATTAGAGTTCTGATCCAGGGTGCATTTAATAAAGCATGAACTTGAAAACTAGCTTTTCCCCCAATGGCCGTATAAGCAAAAGTAACACAGGAAGTTGTAACATTACAATTCCAAGGCATATAGACGTTTTGATTATATCAAAAGACCAGACCAGGACTTAAACCACGACCATCGAATGGGAAATTTTGATCAAAACCGCACCCGCCATTCAGCTGCAAACGAAAGTGAAACAAATGATCAGGATCCACACTCGGAATAAATTTAGTCATGATCCTAGTTGTAAAGCACCTATGTCAACTGGTCCCATAAAATGTGTGATCAATAACATTTTAGGTAGGTCAACTGGTAAAACCTTGGATTTGTTCCCCAGTAGTTGCGGGTTCAAATCCCCTTAGGGACACTGGAGGTTCGTGTGGCTGTTAACTTTGGGGTCCTACATGATTAGTTGAGGCACTTGCAAGTTGGCTCAAAACCATGGTTATCAATAAAAGAAGTGTGGTCATATGCAACACCAGATCAATGGTGGTGGACAATTTTGGCAAAATTTACAAAATGATTACAAAAATTTCCAAATTTTTCAACATAACTAACGCTGACAAGATGTCTAATAAAACAAGTATCAAAAGGGGTAAAAACATGACCATGCTCATTAGTAGGGCTACACAAAAACCCAAACAACCTGAACAACTCAACCTAAAACCACCTGATGACTAACCGAGCTGTAAAAAACTTAAACCGTAGGTAATGGGTTAGAATTGGGTTACGGTCATTTGAACCTAACCCAACTTGATACCCTTCTTTTCCTTGGATCTAATAGATTGTTAAATCCCTTCTTAATTATCTTCTTTATGTTCAGTATATGTGATCATATATATGTAAATCAAGAAAAGTAGTTACATGTGATCTACTTAAGGAGTACGGATAAGCTATACCAATTAATATATGAATAAATGAATTACGAGTAGAGAAAACGCCATATTCAAGGTAATAAACATATTTTGATGTACCAAAGTCTCAACCCGACCAACCCAACCCAACCCAACCCACATCGTTTGGTTGGGTTGGGTCAAATTGAATTTTTCAAACCAGAAACATTAGATTGGGTTGTTCAAATGCCTTCAACTTGATCAACCCACCCCGTGTTTACCCCTATTCATTAGTACAAAATGGGTCGATATGGCTCCGACTACACCGAGGTGCATCTCTAAGATCCATCCTCGGAGTTTCTTTTTGTTTCATTTAATGATATAAGAACGAGTCATGAAGGAATAGTAAAGGTATCATGTGACTAGAAGAATGAGCTCAATTCATCCATAGTTGCCTTCCCAACCCTTGTAAATGTAACAAGGCTGTTGCCTACAATCATCACTATCTTTCATTTTCATGCAAATGGCAAGACTAGTAGATACATGCCTAGATCACAAAGTTGTGTGGCACACCCTCCTCCATTATACAGGTTGAGACAAGCTATATACCTATGTAAGGTTTTATGAAGTAACAAAAAGTATGGACCTAATGCCTAGATTTACTGAATACATACGTGAGTCTTAAAGTAAACACTTATCGCCTCTTACCGGGTAACTAAACACTTGTTTCCTCTTACAAGGGTCGTAAGAGATGGTCTTTACCAACAATCTTACTATGTCATTTTGCTAACCAAGAATCTTACCGTGTGAGTGTAGTGCCTGTTAGTCGGTTAATGCTTACCAAGTACAAGACGCTTATACTATGTTATTTTGATGACCGAGAATTTTACCCAACAAGGTGAGGGGATGACTCGTATTAGGTAAACGCTTACCGAGTTTGTGTTTGTAAACGGCCCCTTAATTTTTCCTACTCTTACTGAATGTCGGTCTTTGTTTTTTTTTACTGTCGCTCCATCTCTCATGTGTCCGTCCATCCTTTTGTGCTGCCGCGTGTTTGCACACACACTTGTGTTTTTATGCTACTTTTCTCGCTTGTCTCTTTGTATCTTTTTTTTATTTGCAAACCAGAGGTCTTCATAGATACCACCTCTCTACCCTTTGGGTAGAATCAAGGTTTACATACATCCTACCCACATACCCTACCTTGCGTTGGATATACCGGATAAGATTCATTTGGTTTGGTTTTTATTAATGGGCAGCAAAACAGAAATAACTCAGCCTGGTTAACTAGAACAGAGAAATTGGGCCAAATAGAGGTGATTTTCTTATGAAAATAGACTAGTATTTAGCAAGACTTAATACTGTAGCAAGTAAAAAATGGCAAAAGAAAGCAAACATTATGAAGAAGTTTATAACATTTGTTTTGTTAAACAGCTCAAAATAAAAAGAAATACCTGAAAGATCATGATCGAGTATGGGTTCCTGACTGATAAGGTGGGGATGGAGATAAGGACCTTGATGAAGGGCCCTCATTTGCAACTGCAGACTTCCAGTCCCCTGTGGCTCGTTTATCATGAGGACTACGCTTACTTTCCTGAAAACGAGGATTGCCATCCCTCGGATCCATCAGGCCCCTGCCATTTCTCCCAGGACTTCTAGAGTAATGTCTAGATTTTAACGTTCTAGCATCATGAGGTGATCGAGAGCGTGAAATAGATCTCGAGCGTGATGGTAGAAAGTGATCCCTGGGTTTATGATCCCGATCGCTGCACGTAATGCCACATCATTGACTTAGCTTCACTAACCAAAGCATGATATAAAGAACAAATTTTCACTAATTGCGACTGAAATTAGAATCTAAAGTACTTGGAAGAACAGCTGAAAGAAACATCAAAAAGAAACTCTACATGCAGGTAAAGTGGTTCGGCATAAATCACATACAAATATTGTGCGGGAGAACCTTTACCTGACCAGTTGCAAAAAAAATCGATCATTATAGATTAACTTTTGTTCCAAAAGCAGTTTGACTTATGCTTTACAACCAATTTGTCAGCTTCAATAAACTGCAAAGCTTTTGCTGTATCATCTCTCTAGATTCCGAACATTACTTTTATGTGGTGGGGACTGGTGAATAATATTGATATCCGGTCAAGCAGACCCTTCTATCTTTAGCAATACATGACCGATAAACTTCCATTCTCTTGGGCCCACTTTAATCTTTAGATTCTTTCTCGACTGTTGGTATGCAAAGCAATATATTAAACTTTAAAATGAACATCATAAAAGATAAAAAGATGGCACTGAAAAAGAAGTATGGACTCGTTGCTAACATATGGAATCTCACAGTACAATTGCGAAAACCAAGATAGTCCATTCTCCAACGAGAGTCCATAAACACTAGAGCCCGAAGGATATCAAAATTTAATGCAACTATATATTTAAGTCATATGATTCAAGATATATAATGGTACAAGAACCTGGGAACTCCATGGTATTCTTTCTATGTTATCTTTCTAACGCATGCATTTGTTGCTATTTCCTCTCAATTATGACACCGACATCCGAATCACCACACATTATTCATTAGCAACCTAAAAGAAATCGGTGAATATGGCCAACAAACTATTCACATCATACTATCATATGACCTTGGTATATGTTGTATCGGTTGGTTGAAATTTTTTTTGTACTAACCATAGAAAATTAGGAATTACTTTTTTTGTTATTTTTACCAAGCACAGGTTTAGCTAGAATTGTAAGAAAAAAGAGAAGTACTTTGAATTGTATGAAAGTTAAAAAGTTGGGTAAGGTCATGGCATTGTAGCCCTCTAATTTATCATAGTTTGGACTTTTGAATCACTAACAATCCATATACCAATAAGTAAGTTAAGCCCAAATGAATGAAGGTGAATCTGTTGTCAAGCCTAAGTGGAAATTACTGCAAATTCAACAAACACTTCGTTACCCAACTTAATCCTTATTATTTGGCCCCTACTTAAAAACCTTATTCCATGGTACTTGCTAGCTATCCTCCCCAGCACCAGGGACCTCTATAACCGTCATATAAATATCATATCAAATATAGCTACTTATCTTTTGTTTCTGTTTCAACTTTTGGCTCTTTTTGACTCCTCGACTCAAGCATCCCCAATCTCCGACATCCAGACCCAACTTACCAGGGACCAGTGTCTTATCTCAGATGATATAGGTTAGAACATTTTTTATTATTCATTTTTACTATCATTTCTTACAACTTAAAAGAGCACTTTGCCTATCTAGCATGTACCCCACAAGAGTTTTGATCAAACCAAAATCAAGTTAAAGATCAGTGGGACCAATTGATGACCTCACCTCATAAACCATGTCCACTCGAAGTTAAGACTTCTGCAAGACCCATATAATCACACAAATCTAACATTTAGGTTGGGTTTGTAGCATCCTCTGCACAACAGATCTTATGTGAACTGAGTGCTTCGTATTTTATCATTGTCAATTAATTACAAAAAATGTTTGTATTCCTTTAGGTTTGTTGTCTGTTTCAGCTTTGATGCTTCAAGCTTGCTGTGCTCCAATTATAGCCTTTTAAGTCTGGTCCAATCCATCTGACATTGAACAAATGATGCCTGCTACAGAGGAAAACATAAACTAAATACCACTATAGCTTACATAAGCATGTAGGAGGATGCCCAATGCATAAGATGCTTCATATGGGTTGGACAAAAAGATGCCAAGACAAGAACCACCAGACATCTTATGTTCATATATATTCACAATTGTTTGTCATGCATAAAAGGGAAGGAAGTGGTATGGCTTAGCCACAATAATATAGAATGTGGCTTGTAACGATAATTGTCTGGTTCAGATAAAAATGAACATATCCCTTGCTTGTGCTCCATTGCCTTGACAATCTCATGCATCCTCATGTGGCCTAATTTCCCATCCTTGAGTTGTTCATGTTGATGTACAGAGATTTGAGACCAATGCATCCATGAGTTCATTTGTAACCTTGGCTTAAAAATGCGCGCATAATGCGCTTCGATGTGTGATGCGTTCCGATGCGTTGGAGGTAACGCATCAGAGGGGCTGATGTGAAGCGATTCCATGATGCTCTCTGATGCGGTCGCATCACCTATGCATCACACGATGCGTGCATCGGCGCATCCAGTATGTTTCATGTTTGGGCTTCTTTTTCATTCTTTAGAGCTTTTTAGTTGGGCTTTTTGTAGATTAAAATAGAACATAATAACGACCTGATAAAATAGAAGCCACTCTCAAGTCTCAAATCGCATATCAGATTAAGAACATATACGTGAGTTGTGACCTAATAGAATAGAAGCAGAAGTCGCAACCTGAAATAGAAGAAACAGTTGACAGCCAGAAATAGAAGATCGCATATCAGAATGTCGGAACCTATTGCGAGTTCAAATTCAAACACTACATCAGGTGACCCTGGTAGCAAATATGGAACTCAAGATCCTAAATCTAGGAACAATTTTACTTGCCACCTTTGTGGTAAAGTAGTCAAGGGTGGTGTATATCGTTTAAAATGGCATTTTATTGGAGGTCTTTCGGCTGTTACTAATTGTCCAAATTGTCCACAACATGTAAAAGAAGAAAATAAGTCTTATATGCAGAAAAAAAAAAAGTAGCGAAGGTGGAGAATTTAATGAACTCAAGTGTGCATTTTGATGATTATGATCTTGGTGAAGAGGACAATGACCGTGTTGAAATAGAAGGTGGTAGTAGTAAGGTGCCCCCATGAAAAAGACCGAGACAAGATGGAGACTCCTCATTTCACTAGAGCATCAAGAGGGAGAGTAAATGATGATGGGTCGAGTCCATCAAGAACTAGAAGTGCTAGAGGAAAAGGACATGTTCTTCAGGATGAAGATGATGAAGTTGAGGTGGAAGCAGATATTGGAGGGTTTGATAATGATGAGGGAGATGAACCCGTGTTGGGGTTTGATGATGCTGATCTTGGGGAATATTAGTTGGTCACTTGGTCATTTAGTTTAGGGATTGGGGATTATTAGACATTTACTTGTGTTCTTCATGGTAGTAGTTTGTGGGTTTTGTTATTCCGATTCAAGAACTTTTTAAGATTCAAATGCCACTTTTTGAACTACTTTATGATATAAATGAAGTATTTTGATAGGTAAGTATTTTTAAGATAAAAATTGATATGTAGAATTAATTTATAAGTATTTTTTGAATATCGGGCGCATCACATGCGTGATGCGAGCGCATCCGCATCACGCATCGGCTTCCGGGACCCTTACCGCCTCGGACCGCATCGCGCTTTTTAAAACCAAGTTTGTAACGATCAAACTTGGGAAGGCCCGACTTACTTGCCACTTATATCCTCTCGTAATCTTCTCCACACTAGTGCTTTTTACTCTTTGCTTTTTAAATTTTATGGTTTTTATGGTCAATTCCTTAATCTCCATATAGCAAATAATGATCATGGAAACTCAGTCTCCCCTTTCCCAGGGTCTGTACATGTTTATTGACTATAGTACATATTTCTTTTTGAGTTTTTTATTGTTCAAGTGTGATTGGGGGATGATCAGTAGAGAGAAGGTAGAGATTCCAGCTGAAGGCTATGATTTTATCGGAGCACTATATTTATATTGACAGATTTCAAGACTGCAAAACTGCAAGAAGCCTACATCTCAAGTTTACCCAGCAGCTAATAACATTATCAAGTAGAGGAATACATTAAAAGAATCTGATAGTGACGGAATCCTAAGATTTTATTGGAACATTTACATTTTATACTAACGGATTTCAACACTGCAAAATTGCAAAACATCTCAAGTGTAATCCAGCACCTAAGAAGAACACATTACCAAATAGGGCGGAGACATAATCGAAAACATCTGATGGTGAGGGAATGCTATAGAGGATAGAATTGTTTTCTTTAAGTTTGAAACCGAAATTACATTGACATGAATTGTAATAATCAGGTAACTACCATACAACAATACACAAAGCAAGAGTGCAAGAGGAACACACCCCTAAAGCACCTTTAAAGAAGATCATCAGGACTTTCCAACCCAACAAAGCCCTCAGCCTGAGGACACCTACTCTGTGGGCACATTGCAAAAACCCAGGTTTTCTATCAACAGACCACAATATATTACTGGTGATTCACAGTCCGACCAATTTTATATGTGGCATATTGAGCATAATAGATACGTACACTCAGCGTAGGAGTGCTTCACCACAAACTTAAAAGTGTCCAGCTTCTACTTTTAAGAGTCAAATGGATTAGTTTCCAACATAAGATTTATAAGATCGTGTTGTCCGTAGATCAAGAACTGACAACTGCATCCGAAACAAAACATTTTCACCATGCAACAACATCAATGGCAATCTCGAATTTGAAAAATACTACATCCAATTTTCAAAACAAGAAGAGGACTGTACTTATGAGTTGGAGAAATATTATCTAGCGTATCTTGTTTATTTTATGTCTCTGCCCATGGGACCATCCTATACATGTATATTTCCCTTGATGATGATACAACACTTCTGCTCGAAGCATTGTGTATCAAACATCTTGCTCGGTAAGGAATCAATAGCCACCAAGCTGAATTAGTTTCCCTTTACAGGATCCTACATGATAAAGGACTCCAGTTTCCTCGACTTTTTTCAAATATTGCTCAAATTTACCTTTGCATCGTACATTTAACAAGCATGGGGTGGACCCCTAACAAAATGCATGAAGTCAAAGTTGGTTAATTAAACAATAAAGAACATGCAAAAATGAGTTAATCATGAGATATTGTTGACTATCTGCACATATTTCACTTTCAAGTACGAACTCTTTTCCAAATGAAGGAGATGCAAGAACTTAAGTTGAAGTTAACTTTTTATCTTTAGCTTCCATGTTAACAAAGACTCCTCTCATGAAACTAATCACCCCATTAACAGACATGAAATTACTATACAAAAAGAGAGTGCAGATATGGAGAACATATTTAAAGAAAACATTCCTAATTCTACATTCTAGGCATTTAACAACTGACCAGCTAAGAAATCACCAAAATGATGCACATTGGAAAAAGAGTTGAAGATTTAGAACATGATCCTGACCTGAACTCACGCCTCGCAGGTGATACAGAGCGTGAATATGCTGTTTTGGAAGAAAAGAAAAAATATATATATCAAGACCACAGAAAATCAGCAGCAATGAAAAAAAGTGAAGTTAGCAAAGTAAGATTATCTAACTTTATAGTCCTGGACTACACAAGGAAAAAGACATCCCCAAAAATTGTGATGTCCAACATATCCCATATAAAACTAATTTTCTCTAAATGGAATGTAGTATCAATGCCAAAAGTTTTGAGGTGAAACTAACAGCGACGTCTAGAAAACCTAGGCGGGCTCCGCCTACCAGAGCCTCCTCCATGACGCCCACTACAAAGAGAAACAGAAGTGTTCAGACCAGGTCATTAAACAGAGCACAACCAAGATAAAAAGATTGGAACAATGAGTAGTATCACCTTGTTTGACTAGTTGTTCTCATCTCCCGTGGTGTTTTTCTATTTTCTTCAGCATAAACAATGGCTATCTCACGGCCACCAATGACACAATGATTTAACTGATGTTTAGCTTCAGCTGCATCTTCAGCATTACGGAACTTTACAAAACCAAAGCCACGTGGCTCACTGCAATTATCAAGAACATAATATATGATAGTAGCTCTAATAAACTACTTGCAGGTCTTTCTTTCATTTTGAAGTGTGTCATTTTCCATAGAATGGGGGAACATGAGCAGGGTGACACACTAACAGATCAAGTAAACAACAGCCACAGTAAAAATATTGTTAAACAAGAGCAACCATAACAGAGTTCGCATGTTACATCTACAATGACAGTATTCGGCTTTAAATATCAATTCTTGCAACAGTTAAGTACTCAAACTACATGCATTACAAACATACACTGATATTCTGACACATAAGAAGAAAAAACATAAAAGAAACTATAAACTACATTTTAGTATTTCTCTGTTTTAAATGCTTCAAGTTTATGCATATTTCAGCATGTCATTTTCCATAGAATGGGGAAGATGAGCACGGTGATACACTAACAGATCAGGTAAAAGACAACCACAGTAAAATATTGTTAAATATGTCATGCATGCATCTAGATGACCAAGCCCATTCCTAAGTGATATCTAGCATAGTTAAGAAAGAGTAGTTTGGGTACTTCTTAGAATAAATAATTAGTATAAACAGGGAGGCTGTAGGAGGAGAGGCATGCAGAAAATTAGTGGGTTCTATATGGGAGAGTTCTAGCCTCTCGAATGCTAGTTTGTTCTTAGTTTTCCTTGTTAATTGAAGCATCTTACAGTGTCCTTATCACTTGGTTTCTATTTCAATTGTTCAATCGATTCGGTTCATAACAAATTGGTATCAGAGCAGTCCGAATCCATGGCTCTTGATACGAGTTCCTGGGAGTTGATTCTACAAAGAAAAAGGTGATCGGAATACAATCCATCATTTCCGATTTCTATCAACAGCTCCAAGATCCGATTACGATTTTCAATCATTCCTCAATCAGAAGCTAACAGAGATGGTGATAGAAAATGTCCAATTTCATGCTATTCTTCATGAAGAGATAGGTAACACTCTATCCAAAACAGGCCTCTACATCGTTCCCCCACCAACAAAGAGTGCATCTAGAGGTTTCTTCTCCAATCGTGAAGAGGTTGTCTAGGGGCATATTCCTGTTCAACAATGACAACCTCATGGTTACAAAGATGATTGGAATCGAGGGTGGAAAAGAAAATAAGAAGGGATCGACATATTTCCACAAGCTCCATGCCTCCAACTAAGAAGTATGACCCACTGTTGGCTGTCAATGGTACATGCTTCCATTGACTGTAATAAGCAGCCAGCAACCATGTACCCAAGAAATAAAACGCACATAGAGAAGGCAGCAAGCAAGTGAATCATAATAATGCTATACCTTCAGCGATCTACATAAACAAAATCTCAACAGATAGCTGAAAAACAGCTCTAGAACAAATTATGATGATTTTAACAGTAGTATCTGACCACAAGGAGATTGTCACCTATTTCCAGATCAAGAACTCCCGCGTCCATATGATCAGATCAAAAATCAAGTACTCTACCGTATCATGCCACCCAAATCTCACTTGATGTCATGGTGGAATTATTAGACTAGAAGTGGATTCCAGTTTAAGGCTTTAGGACCTCCCTCAGTTGCATAATCCTATTCCACTGTATTTTAGATGTTTAAGTCTGAAATTCAAGAACTTTGCTCTACACATCTTAGGTGGTACCAGCAGCTTCTCATAAACAGAAGGTACATTTCTATATTTTGATGTTTTTATAATTTACGACGAAAAACCCCAAAAAAGTTTAGAATAACCATCCCTTTTATGAAAGATTTCAAATTGAACATTCTTAATCTGTAGATAACAAAGGTTAGCCAATACATTATGGCTTTTAGCGAGTCAAAGTACAAATGGTGTCAAAGGTAGAATTTTTGAGGAATTAGCAGATGTTTATTTTACTACATACCTGCCAAAAAAGATTCTAGTTTACAAGTTGAAAGATATTTTAGAGTAGGGCATCAGAAGGGTCTGTTCAAAGTGTGCACTAAAAACCAGTCAAATGCTCTAGCAAACTACCAAAAACATAAAATAAGAACCAGACAGACTAGTATGCATCAGGCAGACTTGTGGACAAGCAAAGTTATGTTGTCAGTTTGATCATGTTAGAGCATCAGACAGACTTGTTGAGAGTAGTATGCATCAGACAGACTTGCGGACGAGCAAAGTTATGTTATGCTGTCAGACTAGTACGCATCAGACGGACTTGTAGACGAGCAAAGTTATGTGGACGAAGTGTAAAATTCAATTGGAGAAATCTTGAATCTTTAGCTCTTCCTAACCACAGTCAACTGCACATTTGGTATACATTGACTATGCGAATATGAATTGAAACCCATTCTATACCATACAAACACCATGAGAAGCACTATGAAACACATCAAAATAGTAACATAAACCATCAAGCCAATCAAAGAAGATGGGACTTTTCTTACTTGTTAGAGAAAAACAAGAGATAAAAACGGGCGATTTGACTATTAGAAATCATACCCGGTATAGTAGTTCTTGGGAAGATAGACATCCTTCACCGGTCCAAAACGTTCAAAAGGGATCCTAAGATCTTCTGGCCTGCTCAGACAAATTTATTAGCATAACATATTTCCAAATTAACAATCTATAGGAATGCTAGAGTATGAAATACAAAATAATAATGGTCATAAATGAAAACAGGAATAAGTGAATAGCAAATCAAAATCTTATGGTGAAATAGACTTGAGGTACGAAAAACCAATTCATGTCCAACTGCCTAAGCATCAGTGACTGATTAAAATTGGGTTCTAAGTTTCTGAACTTGTCAATGTCACACTCAGAATTCAACAACCTTCTGCTTCATTAGTTTCCAAGGTCTGCAATAAGCTTCAAGAAACAGTAGCACTTGCCAGCCAGAGATTGTGAAATCGACAAAGAGGCATTGAAGTTTTCCTGGGTTTGCCAAGTTAACCAAGAAGAAATCTGATGAGATAAAAATCAACTAACTAGCTTCTATGCCAAATAATGTGGACAACGACCTTTTTATAACAACATGCCACAAAACTAAGCAACTTTTGGACTACCTAGTTATCTGAAACAGGGTGTTGTGCAATGGATTTGGAATGAAACACGTACAAGAGCATCCCCTCAGGGCAGAAATTGTAGTCAACTAAGATATTCTCCACCAAACAACTTGTCATGGAAAGCAGGTAACCTAACATCCCCTCGATTAACCTATACATAACTAGTCTGGCACGATAATGCCCATTGTTGTTTGTTCTTATTATTTTCATAACATCTTTTTGCAATGTCCGGTTTCAAATTACAGCAAGTTATGCATTATATTTTATATTTTATCAAAAAAGTAGGATGCCAAAATCAAATTGTTCGAGAATGCATAGTATCTCCAAAGCGTAATATTGCGATAGCATGGCAGCAATAGGGTTAGGAAAAAATCCTTGTTACGCTTCTCGAACAAGACCACACCCTAATAACCCTTACCGGTTGCTCTACGACCATATAACCAATTGCTGAACTGCTTAAATTAGTTTCGGTCATAAATTCAGGCAAGGTCAATGGAAAGATAAGTTAACCTAGAATCGAGAGAAATATTGCGCACGAGCAGGCCGGATGGAGCAGGGGACCGGCGGCGTTGAGGGTTAGAACGACGGTCTCGAAAGTCATCATAACGACGGTCTCGAGGGTCATCGTAACGACGGCGCGATGATGGCGGTGGTGTTAGACTGCGGCGAGGACTGTAACTTCTGCTTCGGCCAGACCTGCTGAATCTTCCCATTGTTTGGTTAGGATGATTGTTTGACGACCCAATGCCCTAAATAACTCGGAGGAGATTCAACCATGGCGGAGGGATTTAACGGGTAGAAAAACTGGGGCCGGTTGAGTGGTTCGGGTCACCGTCAAATCCCGGTCCAAAAACATGGTCTAGGATGGTGCGGGACAAAAGAAGTTTTTTTGTTTTTGTGTTTCACTTATTCGATGCAACAACAGGCAATTGGTGAGACAAAAATTAAAAAATCATTGATTTATTCTTATTTTATATATAACCTAACTATGATTATTTGTTTTAATGGTCACCACCATCCATCTTCGGCACCACAGCCACTAGTAGCCATCATCGCCCACCATTGACCACCTCTACCTCCTTATCCACTACAACCACCTCCTCCACCATCTCTACAACCACCGTCCATCCCACCCACCACAAACACCATCGGTCACCCCACCCCTACTTCCACTTCTCATCACCACCTATTGTGATGTGAATATGTCCGACCGTCTATTGATTGCCCGATATAATATGGGGAAACCACGACCTGTTGTCTATAAGGAGACAAGAACCTTGGTATATAATTCGCAATAACTATTTATAACTCTGATAATCCTTTACTGTCACCCAAACATTGTACTGTTTACAAAATATAAGTAAATATGGGTTCACAAAAACTTTGTTTAATACAAATATACATCTAAATATCATCATTTTAAACTTTTCTCTTGCCTTTGTCTTGTGATGAAAGATGACCTGCAAAAAAAATTAGTTCAACAACTGTACGTTAGACCCAAAAGGTCTAGTGAATGTACTATATTCATACAAACAACTTATATTCCAAATTTCAAGATTTATAACAAATCTGTATAATTATATGAAACCTATCTGTTATCTCTTATAGTCTCTTGCGATTATATCGCCATTACTTTCATTACAACTCTTTCTCTCGCGGTTACACCGCCATTACATCTCTTTCTCTTGCGGTTACACCGCCATTACATCTCTTCCTCTCGCCGGTTACACTGCCATTACATCTCTTCTTCTCGCGGTTACACTTCCATTACATCTCTTCCTCTTGCGGTTACACCGCCATTACATCTCTTTCTCTCGCGGTTACACCGCTATTACATCTCTTCCTATCGCGGTTACACCGCCATTACATATCTTCTACTCGCGGTTACACCGCCATTATATATCTATAAGAAATTTAAACCATACCAAAACCAAAAGTGAAATCTGATCAACATTAGCCGGATATGAAATCCGGACACTATTTAGCTGGTTTAAGTAATCCGAACAGGCTAATCGGATATGAAATCCGGACACTATCTAGCCAATATAAACATTAAAGTCGGGCAAGTCTTGTCCGGTTTAGGAGATCACCGGATGACCTATTGACCGGTTTAGGGGATATTCGGGTAACACTTCATCCGGTTTTAAGGAATACCAAATGACTCTTTGACCGGTTTAAAGGGATACCGGATGACTTTGTTCGGTTTAAGAGATCACCGGATGACTCTTTATCCGGTTTAAAGGGATACCGGATGACACTCTGTCCGGTTTAAAGAAATCCGATCAACATACTTGTGCAATTCATAACAAGCATATTCTAAAACGATTGAATTATACACATATTTGCATAACAGAGAATTAGTACACTCACCTTAAAACTAGAAATTCTTAGTGTTGAGATCTCTTCCTCTTCAGCCGATGTTAAAGAAAACAAGGAGACTTTTAATTTAAAAGAGTATGTAAACCCTTTTCTTCTCAACCCCATTTACTATATATAGTAAATGAAAATCCTCATGGGCGGTGCAAAGCAACCGACTCCCCCTCCCCTTATCAATAATTTTAAACCAAATACACCTTTTACTCTTACAATCAAAAGAATCCAAAAGTTATTAACCAGAATAACCCGTACTTAACTATCTAATCAACTAATTAACATAAACCGAATATTACAATATTCCCTCCTTAAAAGAATTTCGTCCCGAAATTCCATTAGGTAAATAGATCGGGATACTTCATTCGCATTTCCGACTCTGATTCCCAGGTGGCGTCTGGTCCTTTATGATATCACCATTGAACTTTTACTAACCTAATCTCTTTATTCCACAGTTTCTTTACTTTGAAGTCAGTAATGAGTTCAGGGGCTTCTTCAAAGCACAATTTCTCATCAACCTTAATTTCAGGTAGAGGCACTGCTATATCTTGGCTTATTAAACACTTCCTCAGATTTGACATATGAAATGTATCATGGATTCCACTTAGCTCCAAAGGAAGTTCTAGCTTGTATGCCACTTCTCCAATCTTTCCAATTATAGGGAATGGTCCAATATATCTCGGACTTAACTTTCCCTTTTTACCAAAACGTACCATTCCTTTCCAAGGTGATATCTTTAACATCACTTTATCACCTACTTGGAACTCAATCGGCTTCCGACGTTTATCCGCATAACTTCTTTGTCTATCTTGTGCCACCTTCATACGTTCCCTTATTATGCAAATTTTATCCGTTGTTTGCTGAACTATTTCACGTCCAGTCAACTGTTTTTCACCTATTTCATTCCAACACAAAGGAGTTAGACATTTTCGTCCATACAGAACCTCGAAAGGTGCAGCTTGAATACTTGAATGGTAGCTATTGTTGTAAGCGAATTCTACCAAGGCCAAATGACCATCCCATGATCCTCCAAAATCAATGATACAAACTCTCCACATATCTTCTAATGTTTGGATAGTTCGTTCACTTTGTCCATCAGTTTACGGGTAATAAGTTGTACTTAGCTTAATCTGTGAACCCATCTCTCTTTGGAAACTCTTCCAAAACATAGAAGTAAATCGGCTATCTCTATCGTAAAATCTCCTTGTGCTTCAGGACCCATAGTAAGAAACAATTGATAGAGGAACACCATGACGTGTCACCATTTCATCAATGTACTATTTAGCCAATCTTTCCATTGAATATGATTCTTTCATCGGTAAGAAATGTGTGGATTTGGATAACCGATCTACTATTACCCATATAACATCATAACCTTTTGATGTCCTTGGCAGTTTGGTTATGAAATCCATAGTGATGTGATCCCATTTCCAAACTGGAATTTCTAAGGATTGCAACTTACCATAAGGACGTTGGTGTTCTATTTTTACCTGGAGACATGTCATGCATTGTTCAACGTATTTAGCTATATCCTTCTTCATGTCTGGCCACCAATAGTGTTGCTTCAAATCCCGATACACTTTATTTGTACCTGGATGAATTGCAAAACATGATTTGTGAGCCTCACTCAAGATACGTTCCCCTAGACCACCATAGCATGGTACCCAAATTCTGTTCTGGAATTTCCAAAATTCTCTGTCATCTTTCACAAATTCAGATATTAATCCACCTAATCTTATCCTCCTTCATTGCCTCATGTTGAAATTCTTGTAATTCTTCCTAAATACTTGGTAGTAACTCGACTCGTAAAACCATAACCTTGATAGTTCCACTTTTCTCTTGTTGGCTTAAAGCATCAGCCACTACTTTGCCTTTCCTGGATGATACAAAATTTCACAATCATAATCACTAACCAATTCCAACCATCGCCTCTGACGCATATTCATATTTTTCTGATGGAACAGATGTTGTAAGCTCTTATGATCTGTGAAAATTTGACATTTCGTTCCATATAGGTAGTGCCTCCATATTTTTAAAGCGAATACCACAGCTGCTAATTCCATATCATGAGTAGAACACTATCTTTCATGATCTTTTAACTGTCTACACGCATATGCAATTACCTTTCCACGTTGCATTAGTACACAACCCAAGCCCATCTTTGACGCATCACTATAAACTACAAAATATTCCATTCCATTGACAAGGATAAATTATGCAGTACAAGGATAAAATTGGTGCACTGCATAATTTATCCTTTAACATCTAAAGGGCCTAAGCTTGTGCTTCTTTTCACTCATATTTTACATTCTTCTATGTCGGTTTCGTTAATGGAGTGGCTATACGAGAGAAATCTTGTATAAACTTACGATAATACCCAGCCAATCCAAGAAAACTTCTGATTTCAGTTGGGGTCTTTGGGGCTTCCCACTTTTCAATGGCTTCAATCTTAAGAGGATCCACTTTAATGCCTTCCTTTGAAATAACATGCCACAAAAACAGAACATCTCGCAGCCAAAATTCACACTTCGACATCTTAGCATACAGTCTTTCTTGTTTCAGCAATTCTAAGAGTAATCTCAAATGATGAGCATGCTCTTCTTCCAACCGAAAATATATCAAGATATCGTCAATGAAGATGATCACAAACTTATCAAGATAGAGACGACATGCCCGATTCATCATATCCATGAAGGCTGCAGTTGCATTTGAGAGTCCAAATGGCATAACCAGAAATTCATAATGACCATAACGTGTACGGAATGCCGTTTTTGACACATCTTCATTCTGAATTTTCAATTGATGGTAACCAGACTGTAAATCAACTTTCAAAAAATATGTAGCCCCAACCAATTGATCAAACAAATCATCAATTCTTGGAAGATGATACTTATTTTTTATTGTTAATTTATTCAGTTCCCGATAATTAATGCACATTGTCATTGATCCATCCTTCTTTTTCACAAATAGCACTGGCACACCCCATGGAGAAGTACTTGGTCGGATAAAACTTTTATTCAACAATTCTTTCAATTGTGACATTAACTCCTTTAATTCAAAAGGAGCTAATCTATATGGTGCACGTGCAACTGGTGCTGCTCCAGGAAGTAATTCAATATGAAATTCTATTGTTCGATCCGGAGGTAGACTTATCAAGTCTTCTGGAAATACTTCTAGAAACTCTCTTACAACTGGGATATTCTCCATCTTTTCTTCTTTCTTTATGTCAATGGCGTAGGCAAGAAAACTAGCACTTCCCTTTTGTACATATTTCCTAGCCTTTAAAACTGAGATAAGGCTGGAGTAACGATCCCGTCGGTCCCCGTAAATTACAACATTTCCTTTTTCCGATAAATCTATATGGATCATCTTTTTG